TTGTTAGTCCAGTTTTGGGTGAAACCAGTTATTGGTGAAACGGATTATTACGGATATTTTTTGGAAGTTTGGCTGCAATACGGGCCATGGGTGGGCCGGATTCTGATATTCAAAGAAAGGCGGATAATGGGCGGATCTGGATATGACTTGCCGGATATGGGCCGGGCCGGATCCTAAAAAGCCTATCCGTGAAGTGCTCTACACTATAGATTAATTAGCCTTCATCTATCGCAAGCAAAATAATGTTGTAAGTACAAATCACTATGTTGAGGCGCTTGCCACTCTTCTTTACGAGGTGGTTTGGAGATTTATAGGTGCCTATCGGTTTCACTGTCGATAAAAATAAAATATAGCGCCAGAGCAGCAATGGCAGATCTAGAAAAAAAGGCACTGCGGGGCATAATGAACCCCCAGAAAGCTTCCACAATTTTCAAAAGAGCTTTTCAAACTTTATTTCATTATATGCTGTTCTCAAAATTTGAATCGAAACTACTTTAGTAAAGCTTATGTTTTTTTCAGTATGCGACGAAATACTAATACATACACTTGGTCGAATTTATGTAATTACGCTGTGTAACGAGTGTCTTGTCAGATTCGCTCGTGTAGGTCAGGAATGGGTCCTCATGAGAAGCACAAGTGAACTCGTGGGGCTCCCTGACACTGACAAACAGTAGTGACTCGTGAGGTTTAATTGTTAAACAGTCCTGACTCGTGAGGACTCATTGACAAACAGTCGTGACTCGTGAGGACTCACTGTCAAACAGTCGTGACTCGTGAGGACTCACTGTCAAACAGTAGTGACTCGTGGGGCTCACTGTCAAACAGTAGTGACTCGTGAGGACTCACTGTCAAACAGTCGTGACTCATGAGGACTCACTGTCTAATAATCGTGACTCGTGGGGCCAACTTCCAAACAATCGTGAAGCCCGTTGTCGAGCTTCCTTCCCCGGAGTTATGTTTACTATCCAACTACGCATCTACTTGACCGTATAACTTACCAGCTCTGACGCACTGAATAGTAAAAAGTGAACAGTCGCCACAGGACACCCAGTTGGTTGACCTCAACGCCGGCCATCCAGATTGTCGAGTCATGCTGAGTGTTTGGTGTGGAGCTGTTGCTGTAGGGTAGCATTGTTGTGCAGCTAGGCCATGCTGACTCTGCGTAACTGAAGTCGATATAGCCTAGCCTTAGGTCATCATAAATAACATGCAGTATGTTTATAGATGTATCACCGAATCTATACTATGTCTATAGATGGGCGTCAGAGCAAGAGAAGTGAGGCTGAGAATCGAATGATTTTTAGACTATGGAGAGGACGGCACAACCTGTAAAATATGAGGTGCCAGAATACCAAACCTGAACACTAGTCCTAATCCTAGAATGGAAGACCTGAGCATTTGCAAACGTATCAACAAGCTCGAATTATTTACATCCTTATCATGTGGTCGTCTCTCAACTGGTTATTTACTTTATAGTTGAGTCTATGACTGAGCTACCCCAAGCCTGTGCTGTGTGCTGGATAACGTTAGGTTATATCGTATACACGCATGTAAATAGCCTTCACGCTGTATCGTTGCTGTTATGTCGGTTGTCAGCACCTGTAATTGACACAAAAATGGCTGGTTGCATCACTGGGTCACGAAATATCTGCAGGAATGGACGAAAAAAGTGAAAAGAAATGTTTACAGAAAGACGCAGGTGCGAAAGATGTGGCGTTCTATTATTTTCTTGAGAGGACAAGCGAATGTGACTAGGTATATAGATTGAAGTTAATAGACCCCAGTCACAACGCGTTTGCTTTCTCATTGATTGCCTAAAGTGAGTGCACGCAAGACAATCTGGCCTCTTGTATTCATAGACAATAGCAATGAGACTGTTTCAAGTCTATGCCCGATTCCAATACTTCCATTTACACTTAGCAGTTCTCGAACGTAACTAAATACGTATGATCGCATATAATTAGACCGGTGTCCCACATCGGAGCAACGAATTTAGTTCCAATTAACTGGCACTCACGGAGATAAAAAGGATCCAAAGACGTCTGATCCGCACTTGACCGTTTAATTAATTTTTAGCGCTGCATTGCCTAACACCAGGTTATGTGATTGGGTGGCCGTGAGCCTGCTCCAAGTTCCAACCGGTCTGAACCGGCCTCAGCAGGCTGCTGCTGGCACACGACACAAAAGGCGGAGAGAGATGAACTGATGACGAGTGCCAACGATCAGTCCCGTCCACGAGTGGGGTGTTCAAACGGCGAGCACGTCTGAGTACGCAGCGAACAGCTGTTCACAAAAAGGTACTTACCATATATACCTACTGATGTATATTGCATTTGCGGAGAAATGCACACCATTTTTTGTTTGGCCTGTTCAACGAACTATCAGACACCAGCCGAGGCACTGGCGAATTTGAGACACTACACTGGTGGTATGAAGCGTTGCCGGGCCATAATACTTTCCAGGAAGATAGTCATTTAAAAACAAAACTCGGATTTCACTTTTTACGCTTGCTAGGGCAGTTCAGAACACAATTTTGCTGATCTTGATCAAAGTTATTTAATTCTATTTTTCAGCCAACAAAATAGAGATATTTTGGCAATGTCAGAAGCTGCGAAAACAATGTAGGTACTCGTGTGAGCACTCTCGGTCTATTCTGAAACGTGACCCTGCAAAGTTGACTTTCTGCTTTGAGAAGTTGTTTGTTTAGGTGTGCGACAGAACACCGTGATTGTCATGACATTGAGCCTTATTATGCAAATTCTGACTTTGTTGTTGGTGGAGCCACAGATAACAGTAGTACTTCACGGGAAAATACAACCACTGTTATCTGTGGTGGAGCCTATCCCTTATCTTAGTCTGCATCGTGACGCTTATCTTTGCCAAACACTAAGAGGCTTGAAGCACTGAGAACTAACTGCCGGATTTCAGCTTTATTGCATAGCATCACTTCAATCATGTCATATAGGCATGTGAACTGGCATGATACGCTAAAGTTTCTCATTTTCCACAAAAATACCTATAGAGCCAGGGCTGATCACATACCGCACATACGAGTATAGCACACCGAAGCGCATGGGGAAGACGTTTCACGCCCCAATTTCTCGTCTTCTGATCCAAGTAAACGAAAAGCGGGAAGAGGCGCAAAAAGATCATCAAAAGAAAATACCTGCCTTATTTTTTTTTTGCCGGATCAAAGCATGCATACTGCATAGGTGGAGAATAGAAAGAAATTGTAGGTGTTTGAGCACCGCAGATTCGCCGCCCCAGCGCAGCGCGACTGGCTGGCTCTAGGACCGCAATAGACGTGGGGGTCGAGGTCAGCCGCGCTGAGACGGCGGAGACGTCCGCCTGCGGATTTTGCAGGCGGAGCATTGTGTTATTGCGTTGACTTGTAATGGTGTGGTCACAAAATAGATGTGAGTGACCGTCACTCAACGATGTGGAAAATCTGGCAAGCCCATTTCACTGCACGTTTTGTCACCACAATAAATTGCTGAAAGTTTAATAGCAGCTGATAACCTATTAGACGGTTTAGCTAAAGCGAACATTTCATTGTGATCACCTGCTGACTTGACCTTAGGTGACCTAAAATGTATGTGTGCTGTAAGTATGTAGGTAGGTATAGTAAATGCCACAGCATTTAATAGGTACAATAATCGTGAGAGAACCTATACTTTCCTGTTATTAAGAATGCGAGTTAACCCTCGCCAGGCGAGGGCCTTTTCCATAACACGGACGGCGAGGGGGGATTGGTACGACCCCCCCGCGATTGGCTCCTATGGCACTTAGAAACGCCAAATTTATAGCGTAGGTGGGTCCATAGGAGATCTCGCCCCTGTGAAAGTTTTGTGACTCTAAGTCAATATTTAGGTTTTTTAGGGGGGGTATGAGTGCAAAAATGTTGCTAAAACATGTCAAAAGTTTTTCGCCTATAACTTTATACCTAGTAAAGAGAGAGCAAAAATAAAAGCACCAGTGAACTCAGGACGTCCGTGCGCATCGAATAATATACTTTATTACCAATTTAAGTGAACTCTGGAATTCAGTTGCCGCTAAGCTAGGTCAATTTTCCCCATGGCCCTGACCTTGTACCGGTTTTTGTGACCTGGTGACCTGACCTGAAAAGGCTGGGACTTTAAATTTTCAGGAAAGGTGCGAAAATGTTGCCTCAGAGGGTATGCCAAATTTGGCGGCGCTACGCGCCGCTGTTTTTACGTTATTTACGAAAAACCGTAGGGGGAGTTGCATCAACCCCCATCGCTGGGCGAGGGTTAACCTCTAATCTTTCTGCTTCCCTGCAAGATTGTGGGACATTCGCTCAAGCGCAGCTTGCAATCAGGGAAGTCCCATTTCCTACTAACCAGTCTTTCCACGCTGAGATGCACGCTTGTGCTTCCAGAGAACGCATATCAGCACAGATCAAAACAAGCCTCACGTTAACCCGCGCCCCGTTGAAGGTCTGACAGGTTCCGCGTCCTGTTGGGGGGGGGGGGGATGCCAAGGGGCCCCCGTCGTATCTCCGGAACCAATGGCCGGATCGGAAAAATTCAAACGGCATTCGAAAAAGTTCATCGAGATGCACAATATAGGATATCGATGACCTTGATATTTGACCTGTGACGTCACAGGGTCGACGTCACAGTTGTCGCTGTCTATTCCAAAGTTATCCGATTTATGCCACCAGACGATGAAAAGGCAAGCGAACCGTGCTCCAATCGTGGTTTGAACTGGGCCGTCCGTACAGGATCCTTCATTTCACTGCAGTGGTCAATGGTCATGCACCACACCAATAAATCCACTGGACACCAACGGGCCCTCATCCAGTAAACCTTACCCGACTGGACGGTCATATAATCACCGTTACAGGTTCCCAGAACGGCCAGAGCAGTGTGATGCGACGTCTTGTTTTGCCGTTGATGTGTCTTTGGGCGGGCGTGATGATGTGCGGAGTGTCGGATCCTCGTTCTACCCCGACCGAGTGAGATCCGGGAAGACCTTGTATGTGGCGAGCTGCACCTGGCGGGCGCCTTTGGGCCGCAGAAGAGCCGCCAATGTCACCTTGAGAGGAGGCGGCCGATGTAACGAGTGGCTGTGGCTGGCTGCGGCTGCTCAGTCGCCTTCCAGACACCCCCAGGTGAGTAGTGCCGCCGAGCGCCGGCCAGCCCGGCCCCGGGTGAAAGGTGCCTCCGCGACGCGGCCCCAACTGACCTCGCGCTTCGCCGGGATAGATACGTGACCTGCGGACATTTTTGGTGGTTGCAAATTGTTCACTGTTGCTGATCTGTCTCTTGCTACATTTTTAATAAGTATTTTTCGTTTAAAAATAATCCCATTGCGAATTAACCAGCTCCCAGTTGCATACCTACCTATTTTTCTTTCCATGGCGATAAGTAACTATACGCTGTTTTACGGCGAATACAGCTCATGGTATGTCTAAATTAACACCATTGATTTTTCATTGATTTTTATTGATTTTGATTGATTGATTTTTAAATCAACATCAAAAAGTATTATTACCCACCAAAATATAGCATATGGCACTGCTGTCTAAAAAAGCTTAACATTTTTACCTACGCTGTCATCCACCTTAAATGCTCCATAGAATTTATGACTCACAGCTCCCGCCAAATGTTCGATTAACTCGTCATTTTGTCTGGTCTTATCCCTTCGTCATCAGCATGTTGACCTTGACCCGCTGCTGGAATCCTCGTAAAAACGGGCGTCAGTCGCTTGATCACTGAACGGTATGGCTAGCGTAGCGGGTGATGTAAAGTGCAGTTCCTTTATTACCTTATTATCTTATTATGGATGGCTGTTGGCTATAGTTGTCTGGAAAACTATTGTGCACCAGAGTTCTTGTCACAAGCTGGATAATCATTTTCAGACACATCTCTTTCCTCCTTATTATCTTATTCCGTCTTGTTTTATAAAAACATACAAATGTTGATTCTGTATTGAAATTATAAGAAACCGTTGTTGCATGCTCGCTCCATGATTATTAAATGTCACATGATTGAGCGCGATTGTTAAATGCCGGTGTTATTGCCATTTTTATTTTCATCGGTTATACCCTTTTCTCGATGATAATCTCATGAAAGTTGTTGGCTTCAACGTATATTTGATATTTGTTTCACATCACAGCATATTCCTGTATAATGGAAGGCCCTCAGTTACCTGGGTGATCGCTGGGGGAGAGAGGGAGGGAGGGAGAGAGGGAGTCTGAGGCGCGCTGTGGAGCTCGCGCGCGGCCTCTGCCTGCCTCTAACGGTGACCGCCTGTGCCAGGCGAGGCCGACCACAGATCAGGGTCATCGGCCCGCACACCCTGCTGAGCCGACGGCAAGCCGCTTACTTCCTGTCGAGCAGCGCCGAGACTCGCAGTCGCGCCGAGCCGAGAGCCGCGAGGAGCCGAGACCCGTCAGCGAAGATGACAATCCCTGTGGCTAATTGAAATTTATTATGACAAAATTTTAGAAAAGATTGGTAGAACATTCTTTTACATATCAAGTTTTTAGTGACGTCATGATTTGAGTTTTCGACCAAATATGGCATATAACTGGCGACAGGGGAAGGCCGGCTGGAGACGCTGTGGCTGGCCGTGTCGGCGCCGGGCGGTCGCGCGGCTGTTCTGGGCGTGGCCTACCGCCCGCCCGACGGCCCGGCTGCCTCCGACATCGATGATCTCCGGCAACAGCTACTGGAAGTGTCCGCCACAGGGAAGCCCATCTACCTGCTGGGAGACGTAAATCTGGACTTGACTCGGCCTGACAAGCCCCAGGTCACCCTCTACTCCAGCATGATCGACGAGCTCGGCTTCGTCCAGCTTATTCGAGACCCGACCCACCCGGGGGTGACCCCCTCTCTTATCGACCACGTCCTTACCAATCAAGCAGCAGCCGGACATGAACCGACCGTCGTCAAGACCCACGTCAGCGACCACGACCTGGTAACCGTGAAGACTCGGCTGGCACGTCAGAAGAATAAGCCCCGCTGGATCGTCACGCGCTCCATGCGCCAGGTCAATTATGACCAGCTCTGCCTGGATCTTCTACAGGCCGACTGGTCCCCCCTCTACCGGGAAGAATCGACATCGATAGACGACGTCTATGACGCCTTCCTGACCATATGGAACACGGCGGTGGACAAGCACTGCCCACTCAAACGAGTAAAACTGCGTCACCCGGACCGTCCATGGCTGACTATGAGTGACGAGCTTCGGGACCTGCAAACTAGAAGGGACATAGCAAGGCGCAAGAGGGATGCGCAGCGCACAGCGGCCAGCGAAGAAGAGTACTCAGCTCTTAAGCGAGAATTCAAGAGAAAAATCGCAAGTGCCCGTGCTGACTTCTTCTCCGCGCCATCCTCCACGAAGGAGATGTGGAGCCAACTCCGTAAGCACGCGCTCGGCCCCCGTCAGAGGGCGGGTCCGGCGGCAGCGACAGACCCTGACACTGCAAACCGTTTCAACGCCTACTTCGCTGACGTGGGGCGCCGCATCGCTGACGAGCTGGCGAGCCGGCCGGCCCAGCGGCTCTCGCCGCGCCCGCCCATCGTATGCAGTTCGTCCTTCACCGTCCGGCCTGCCACGCTGCCGGAGCTCAGTTCTGCTATGAGGCGCATGAGTGGCTCCCGGGCGGTCGGAAGTGACGAGGTGTCGCTGCAGCTAATCGAGCGGTGTTTCCCGGTGATCGGCCCCCATGTGCTCCGAGTGATAAATCGGTCTTTTGTCACTGGTAAAGTTCCGAAAGTGTGGAAACATGCAAAAGTGATTCCTATTCATAAGGCGGGTGAAACGTCGCAACCATGTAACTTTAGGCCTATCAGCATTCTGAGTGTGGTGTCAAAGCTCGCGGAAAAACTAGTTAGCACTCAGCTTATCACGTATCTGACCGACAACCATATCCTGTCACCGTCGCAGTACGCGTACAGGCCCAATCACTCGACAGAGGGCGCGTCTATCGATCTCGTCAGTAGGATCGCGGCGAATAGCGATGATGGACTCGTGACGTGTCTGTCATCTTGTGACCTATCCAAGGCCTTCGACTGTGTTGATCGTGACGCACTGTTCATCAAGCTCCAGTGGTACGGAATATCTACACACTGGTTCTCGGACTTCTTCAGCGACCGGACGCAGGCCATAGAGGGCGGCGGCAGCCTCCCGGTGCCGTATGGAGTGGTCCAGGGCAGTACGATCGGCCCCATCATGTTCAGTGTGTTCACAAATGACCTGTCGTGTCACTTGTCACATCACGCGTCACTCATAACCTACGCTGACGACTCCCAGATACTGCACTGCGCCGCGCCAACCCCGGCAGGTCTCACTGAGCTGCGTCTCAGGGCGGAAACCGATCTAGCCACTGTCTCTGCCTGGTTCACTTTAAACGGGCTTAAAGTTAATCCCACAAAGACCGAGCTCATCGTCTTTGGAACAGCAGCAGCCATCAAAAAGACTGATGGATTCATGATCAACTTTGACGGCATACAGATAGCACCAGCCCAGTGTGTCAAAATCTTAGGTGTGGTTCTGGACCGAGAGCTTACCATGCGTCAACAGACGAGCAGAGTGGTGCAGCGCTGCTACAGCAATCTCATCACCATCAGTAAGATCCGAGACACGCTGCCAAGAACTACCCTAGTACACCTCATTCGTGCCCTGGTCTTTCCACATGTGACGTATTGTCTGCCGGCCTGGGCGCCACCTGCAAAGCAGGATCGCCTTCGCATGGAAAAGGTGGTGAACTATGCAACTCGCATTGTCACACGGAAACGTAAGTTTGATCGTATCTCTAAGACAAGACAGGAGCTCGGCTGGCTTACCTTCGAAAACATGATCGACTATAGAGACTGTGTCCTCGTGCACTCACTGCTGTATCAGGAGAATGCACCGTTTCACCTAAAAGCACTAGCCACGTATCGCGCGGACATATCAGAGCGTAGTACGAGAGCGACCGCTGCTGGTCTCCTTCATGTACCGCGGGCCCGTCTGGAGCGAACTCGCTTGGCCGCACCCATCCGGTCGCTGAACACGTGGAACGCTCTCGACGAAAAAACGCGTGTCTGCAGAAGTGACTTTACCTTCAAGAAAAATGTGAAAAAGTCGATGCTTACCAAACTCTAGAGCACGCACACACCTACCATCATTTTAAACAAGAGTGTTTTATATTACATTGCGTCACCATCTTTTAGCCTTGTCATTGAGCTAGTCGTTACATGTCTTTTTTAGCTTTTTTTAGGCATCACTCACGCCACTGCGTCCATGTATATTTTATTCTGTATATCATGGCAGCCGGTATGTGTATTTGTATGACGCTGTGGTGTAACAAGCCAATTGTATATTGGAAACCACAAAGATATGCGAAATAATAAAAAATAAATAAATAACTATTTAAAAATCATATGAAATCACAGAATAGACGTACAAACATGCGGTAAAGGCAATTAGGCTGCCGATTTCCATTAGAATCAAAATGGCCATCTTTAGTTTTAATTATTGTTCCAAAAAGGTCATGATGCATGCATTTGTTGAGTTGATTTTTTTTCAAAAACGTGCTCGTATTTGCGCTTGGAGCGAGCGAGAGGGTGGGCCATGCACGTGCGAAATTGCGAGAGGGTACCTCCAACTGACTTGTGCATGGCAACCTACTAACCGGTCTCTAGCGATGTGCCAAATTTGAGCACAATCGGCCTAGCCGTTCTCGAGATCTGGAAGCGGCACACTGCACGTGCGCACGTGCAAAATGGGTCCCAAGTGACTTTTGCACGGCACCCTACTAACCAGTCCCTAACTGTGTACCAAATTTGAGCGCAATCGGTCAAGCTGTTCTCGAGATCTGGAATCGACCCCTGCACGTGCGCACTTGCAGCAACACCCCAACTCTGGCACATGGATATGCATTGCCTAGTGGGTGCCTACCGACATGCCAACTTTCAGCGCAATCGGCCCAGTAGTTACCGAGATATTGCTAAATGGGATTGTCATGGGTGTATCTCAGCTACACAAAAACTGAAGCGTTTTTTCAGGGTGTGCCCAGGGTCGCTCTTGGAGAAGTTATAATGAAACGCTTGGATCGTAAAAAAATGATAGGTTATAAGTGCGGCCAACCCAAAAACCACATTGAGCGATATAATCAAACGAGAGTTATATTGAAGTGGATAATTGAAAAATAATCTTATACGTTTTTGAAGCAAAATATATAAATTATGATCCCCAGTCGTCACATAAGGGTATTGTTGAGCTTCTGTAAAAATCGTCCACTTCTAGAATGCATATCCATTAACCAGCAAATAAATTCGTATCTTTTCAGCGGATATATGATATAATAAAGGTTCAGCACACGGTATCCCTGAATGAGGTCGTCTCTATCCTCTATCAGGAAAACTGTATCGTGAAGTCATGCATGACTTCATGTTCACATGTGAACACGGACCTTGTACACACACTGTGCACAGCATGCTCTGTGCTGTCTATGTCATCTTGACATTCCTCACCGGTCATCCATGTTCTCTTTCAGAACCGAACATGATGAAACTGCTGGTGACAGCGTTGGCTCTCTGCCTGGGCCTCGTGGCAGGATTCAGCAACAATGAATTCGTGAATCCCGCGCACAAGAACTTCGCCTGCCAGAACCTGTATCCCAAGCACGAGCCCTTTGAGCCGCAGACCGGAGCTAATCCCTATTCGCTGACGGTCACCGACGCTCCTGGTGGAAAACAGGGTACGCACTTTGTAGGATATCAATTGCATGGAGTCCTAGCTGGATGTAGGTAGTTACGTCTATGCATTTTCTTTACAATGCTCGTCTATTGAGTATTGAACTTATTTGCGAAAGACTACCTTCCCTGAAAACTCACTCATTCGTTTTTATTGAATTGAAAAAAAAAGTTTTCTCTCCTTAGGTACATTTTGAACGTAAGCTGGCCTGACCACAAAGAGAAGTAAAAAAATATCATGTTGGTTTTAAAAATGATTCAGAAGGTTTCTCGAGCCTGGAGAACCAAAACCTACAATTAGCCGAGGACTAAATTGCTTTCTCGAATCTTTTACGTAAGATAATACCTACATCTAAGTTAGAAGTAGAACTAAATGGAAACCATGATCTGGTGAATATTCAGTGAGCAAAAAAGTGCCGGTAACATTTCCTACTTCAAGCATTAGTAGCCATGATTGTCACTACAATCCACGACCACTATTAATTAACCATTTGCGTGTTTTCAGTGACGATCTCAGGAGATTCCTTCAAGGGCTTTATCCTGCAGGCGAGCAGCGGCAGCTTTAGCTCACCCAGCCACCCCGTAATCAACGTGGGCTGCCCTCAGGTGAGACGGCTCTTCGATAGAATGGCGAAATCCCATGACTTCTCGCATGGCTGACCACAAGTAAGCCATTTGTAACACTCCGACGTTGCGTATTTTCAATACAATCCGACATTGCGACATTGCGCAATGCGCGTTATTGACCCAAAAACCTTCACACATATGATCGTCCACTGCCAATCCTTTTCTGGACAACACCCTAGTTTCTGGTCTAACTAGTAAAGGCAGCATATCGGCAAGCATTCTACATTGCATTTTTAGACCGGGGTGTTGGGAAGAAACCATGAGAATTATTGAGAACTGAGGTTTATCAGTGTGGCCCTCCTGGATGACAGATGGTTTTCTGACAACACCCCGTAAATAGCAATGTTGATGTATGTACGTGGATTCATGCTGCCGTCCCGGTGATTTTCTGACGACCGCCTGCCGTCCCTTCCAGGGCGCTACCATCAGACAGAAGGGAGCCGGCGTGAAGAACTCCTTCTCCGTTCTCTGGGTCGGATCCGGTCCCGTCTCATTCAAGTAAGGACTCGCTCAGCAATGCCGGCTTTACGTGGTCGCACAGTGAAATATGATTTGTTAGAAATATCACTAAAATATTTATCATAGAACTTCAGAGCTACAAATAACATTGATGAAAACTTGTTAATTTGGTACATTATCACCTGTTTCTGTAATTATCTTTCAAATTGCGCTTGTCTCCACAGGGGCTCGGTCGTCAAGGAATGGGTCGAGTTCTACAAAGTGTCTGCGTAATTATTTTCCTCGCGAAGGTAAGACCACAACAGAGCCACATATAACTATCATGCCGGCTTTAAGTGCATATAAATATCACCGCTACCCCTGCTTTATGGTTTCCTTATTGTTATCATCTAATGTTTTTCTCCATGCAGCTTTTGAATAGTTTTTTTTTTTTTAAGGAATCGCGATTCTCAACAAACCTTCATTTTAAATATGAGCAGCGAACAGACTATTTTATTCTCAATAGGTCAATTCTACCCAAAGTAAATATGTTTCTTAGAAACACTGTTTTTTTTCGTATTTTATCTTTTGACTTCACCTATCATAGGGATCATGCCTGTTGGTGATATTATGCAATACAAGAATACAAGAATACAAGAATACACTGAATAATTTCAGAAGATGTTTGTTAGTATGTATGTTCATGTTTGTCATGTTTGAACTAACACTGCCAAGTCAATCCACACATGACTGTAACCTGGAGTGACCTAGTTAGGCCATTATCTGGTCAGCTAATTAACAGGGGGCTCACCCTTATTCAAGTAACAATTTTGAACTTTTCTTTTCAAAGTTAACAGAAGAGTCACTGCTGCAGCTGAGTTCTTCACTCCGCAGAGCCGTTACTGAAGACAGATGCGAATCCATCTTCTTTTTTCTTATAAATTTTGCTGAATTCGCGTCAGCAAAAACAAAGGGCGTTGAATTGTATTTTATTTCCAGTGCCGTAAACTTAGGCTACAAATGAATAGTAAATTACAAATACAAGAGAATTGCGCCTTTTCACCATTTCATGTGGAGCAAACTGTACGCATCATGAAAAGTGCAGACCGGAAAAGGGCAGAGAAGGGCACATGGTACTTGTGACAGGACGCTGTGTTGTGAGGGAGCTGTTTAGTCGAGGGGAGCAGCCGGGCGAGCTAGATGTTTTGTGCATTGTAAATGTGATCTTAACCGTTTGTAGGGGCTACACAGCGAAATGTCAACCCAGTTTGTATGAAATACGCGTGAATCAGGCTTCATGTCTTTTTTCATAGATGTATAGCCTACTGATTGGTTGGAGGCTTTGCGGGTCGCTACGCTTCAAATAGAGCGCTGTGTTTTCGAAATAAATATTTGAAATTGCGGAAAAAGCAAGCATTTTTATTGTCATCGCGCGGTATTAGGGGCTATGATATGAATATGCTTACTACACATAAAAATATAAACGTTCAATTCAGTACTTCACAATGGCAAGCAAACAAAACAGTGTGTGATTATAGCTTTATTCAAGAGTAATTCCCTACAGGCTTACAGGCATTCGTAAGCACGAACAAACTACTTACGATGTGTATAATTACCTTATATGCGTAACGCAAAGCACTCTAGCATCTCCATCTGTCCTGTCTAACGCTTTTCAACACTTTGACAGTCACGTTCTCTCATTTCTCAGCACTATCACACATGGCATCGCCCGTTGCGACACAAGCATCAGCCCACTCAGCCCAAAACAGCCGGCCAAAATGCAGCCTTCAACACACAGCTCACATCTTCGCAGACGATTCTATTGACACAGGCGCCGAAGTCGAAAGGTCTTCGTGGAACACGGATCGGAAAAATGCGTCTGTTCTGTATGACAAAAAACTACGTTAAAAGAAACGGCTCTTTTATCGAACACTGCTAGGCTGCCAAACACAACAGGTATGACACACAACTTTCCGGATGCATTAGCCTGTGCTGCTCGCACGCATATAGGTGAGGCATGCGTGCAGTCTGTTCTACTTAGTACTTACGAAGGTGTGGAAGGGGCCTGTGCCCATTTGTGTCAGTAATATAGCGGTCGGTGGAGAGGATGTGTCGCTAAGCAGCAATGCGTTATCCATCCAGGGAATTAATTGAGTTCGACAAATAGCCAATGCGCCTTCTGGCTATACGATAAATACAGTGGTGCAATACGGTATCTGCCTGCGCTGTGACTCATGCCTGCATCCGTTTCTTCAAGTGCAAACGACAAATACCTCTCTACCGTTCTAATAGTTGAACGGAGCGTCGCTGTCCTTGAGATCTACCTTCACTTCACGAAGCTTAAGATGGCATCGCTCCAACCTACCTTTTCACGGTTCAGGCTGCGTCTGTGGTGTTGCCCTGGTGACCCCCCGAGTCGCCGCAGCCATTCTCCGACATCTGGAACTGCACCATGATGATGATGTAGGTGAGCACGGTGGACGTGGTGCCCAGGATCGCCGACAGCTGCAGCCGGAAGAAGCCCAGGTCGCCGAACGTCTCCAGGTCGCGCTGGGTGGCAGCCAGTAGGGCAGCTAGCTGACGGTCTGCGGGTGCGTCCTGCGGCTCCACGGTCAGCAGGGCGGCGCGGGTCCCCTCGGAGGCGTCCAGCACTCTCTGGCACGACCAGCACGGCACCAGAGTGGAGACCAGAGCCGGCACCAGGTACAGGATCGTGCTCCAGATGAAGATGTGCTCGTCCTGCTGGGCGGCTCCGATCAGCTGGAAGATGGTGATCACCTGGGCCAATGTGCCGTAGGATATGGTGGAAATCAGCTCAGGCCGGAGCTGCTCGGTGACCCGGGAGAATCCGCGGCTCAGCCGGGACTGGATCAACCTCAGGCGCCTCAGGGCACTCCAGCTCACAGGGCCATCATCTTCGGCCAAGGTCTTGAGCTCCGAGTTGACGGTCTCAATTCCACACACAGAAATACAGCAAAGTAACGCAAATTTGAAGGAGCTCATGAGGAATGAAATAAAAACTACGGTGCTGATTGCAATTAGAAGAACTGACAAGAAGGGATCAACCCCATGCATCGAGAAGGCAGCCTGTATTTCAATTGTCATCATGATGTAGCTTAGCACGCCTACCACCCATATGAACAAAACAACACTTAGCATACAATAGAGGCGGCGGTTGTGCCTGATGCGCTGTTCTGCGAAAGTAGGTAAAACGCTGATGTCTTGCAACATTTCCAGCGCTTCTTCCAGCAAAGCACCCGTGCGACGTCGACCGAAAAGGAAAGTGATTGCCATTGTAAACCACATTAGGAAGGACGGCAGGCCGAAGAACGCCGACGTCAAGAGCGCATTGAAAAACTTGCTTCCGTCTGTTAATTTTTGAATGCCAAGGATGAGTGACTCCCATCCGCTGACCAGACAAGCAAAAGAAGCCATGCCTAGCATCAGCAATGCGTATAGAAACTGGGCGCAGCCTGCGCCACCGGACTGAGCTGTCAGCTTCAGGAGAGCAACCAGAATAGACAACGGTCGCGACATTACTGTTGGTACTGCGGTGGCCACTTGCGGGTCTTCACCTGCCTTTTCTGCTCCCACGCTTCGCTGCTTTACATGGATCGAAATCATGACACTGCTTGAAATGAGAACAAGTTTCTTTCGGATTATTCACCGCCCAAGGAGCTCCACGCGTCGAAGATGATTCTCTGGAGTGGTTTTGCTCTTATAGCTTGGATGGACGTCTTGGCTTATTACTCTTCTGTTTACCGTTTGAAAGAAGTATTATAGCATGATAATTTATAAAGACGGAAGAAATCGAGTAAGCCGGACTGGACGCTTGGGTATCTTTCCTGAGTCGTTGCTTATCTGTGCTGTCTCGGGCAGCCGGTGGGCACCAGGCAGCGGTTCCGTCCTTTCCTGCGCGCCCTAAACAGCTGGTTGGTCCTTCCCTGCGCGCCCTAGACAGCTGGTCGGTCCTTCCCTGTGCGGCCTAAACAGCTGGTCGGTCCTTCCCTGTGCGGCCTGGACAGCCGGTCGGGCCTTCCCTTTGTGGCCTGGACAGCCGGTCCTTCACTGTGCGCTCTCAAGCAGCCGGTTGGTCGGTCTAGGTAGCCGATTGGTCCTTATAGTTCTGCGGTCTCAGGCAGCCGGTCGGTCCCGGATAGCCGGTCGGCCTAGGCAGCCGGTCAGTCTAGGCAGCCTGTCGGTCTCGGTCGGTAGCTGGGCAAGCCGTCCCAGTCTCAGCGAGGATCGACTGTCTAGTCCCGCCGAGGACCGGCTCGAGTCTGTCGGTGGGCATGGCGACGGCAGCGATCGTCTTCCGATCGACCGGCTTTAAGTCGCCGCTGCCGCCGAGTCGCCCTGATGCACTGCTGTGAGCATTCATGTTATCAAGGGCGGATCCAGCAACAGGGTACATAAACACAGGCAGATGTGTGCATTGCTCGGATAATCTATAAATATCACCGAAATGAAGCATCGCCGTCGCATTATCATAGGTGCAGGTACTTGTGAATAGGTATAACACAATTTATAAGAGATACATTTTGATATCAAAATGCCTCGTGTGCCAACAGTGATATCCTACTCTCACAGATCCCTGGCCGTGGCCCTGTCTTCTTTGTTACGTGTGACACTTGCTGACCTAAGCATTAGAAAATTGGAGGAAGCCGAGGCACTTGAATCAACAGTTTATGCCTGAGACTTGGCCTGTGCACACTACACGACACATTAGCGGGCATTTATATGACGATGTGCCCTGTGCCTCTGTTGACCGCGTGCTCGCTCACTTTGCTATGGTGAAAGGTGTCACGAGGCACGGAGCGCTCCCTCTGGCAATGTGGCGATGTTTTGGTGTTGGCATTGTGAAAACATTGGCGCCGTCCCGCAACGTTATGGTTGCCAAACGCCGGCACCAGACTGGGTGTCAACATTCGTGACAAGGAATGTGTGAGCCACCATGCTCATTTTCTTTGTTGTGGGGACGACCTAAAGAACTCCAGGAAGCTGCACTTTTACATACTTTGAAAATCATTCGATGCACTTCTGTCGCGCCACGAGTAAGGCCTACATGCATCACGTAGCTACGGTGTATTGTATGCCAGTGTAAAATACTGTAAACACACATCACATCTCGGCGACCTCATTGTCTTTCCTCGATGTCTTCCCTCACCCGACTCGCTTCTCTGTCCTTGGTCTGTCTCTCACACCGGGACAAACATGTAGTCTATCTCTTAAAGGGACCCTCCCACCTTCAAAAAAGTTTATGAATTGGCATGAAAGTGATGTCGCTCGGTTCAGAAAGAGCGAAAACGAATATCTACCAAATTTCACCGAAAAATATTCACCGGTTTTCAAGATATTAGACTTTTACTTTTGTTTACTTTTTTGGGATCTCCGCTGTTTCTAGCGACTTGATTTTAGAAGTGCGGCGTTTGCGGCAGATGTTGCGCGCAAATAGCATATACCACCGTGTAGTGTCGTCTTCTGCTCTAGCTCTTCTGGGTATCCTTCTCGACTCGCAACAGCCTCCATGAACTCTATCACTGACTCCGAGTTGGGGTGCGCACAAAATGCTACCTCTGGCCACTTTGAGTAGTAATCGACCATGACAATAGCAAAACGTCTCTGCACCCCACCTCCCTCCATCGGTCCAATGAAGTCTATGCCCACTTTACTCCAGGGCGTCTGGGGCAGGGGCACCGGGTTCAGTGGGGGCACATTCACCTTGACAGTCTTGTCAGCGGTAGCGCAAGCAGCACATTGACGCACAAGACACTCAACGTTGGCGTCCATCCCGGGCCACCAAAACAGCTCCCTCAAGCGCTGCTTAGTTCTTACCGTGCCTTGATGCCCCTCATGAGCAAGATCCAGAAGACGCCTTCTCAGCTCCTCCGGAACCACGATCCGGTCGCCCTTGAAGATGAGACCGTCAGCCGTTGACAGCTCCAGCCTGCAGCGGAAGAACGGTCTCAGGTCGTCAGGACAGCTGGCAATCCTTGCCGGCCACCCTTCGTCCAGCTGACTCTTCAGCTTCCTGAGAACAGGATCGGTCTGAACTGACTCGCGGAGCTCGCCTCTGCTCACTGCCGAGAGACGCTCCACCCGTTCAGCTATCTCCGCCACCAGCTGCTCCTCGTCGTCTGGAGCCGCTTCCGCGCCCACTGCCGGCAGACGCGAGAGACCGTCAGCCACGTTACACTTGCCTGGCACGTGACGGATCTCGAAGTCGTAGACGAGGAGGCGACTGGCCCAGCGACTGATCCTCATTCCTGCCCGTCCGACTCCTCTGGACGTGAGAAGTCGCAGCAGCGCCTGATGGTCCGTCCTGAGGGTAAAGTGAATGCCAAACAGGTACCGATGCCAGTGTTCAATAGCCCATAGAGCAGCCAGTGCCTCCTTCTCAGTCGCACAA